TTAATTTAACTCACTCCATTGGTAGATTAAAGGCAAAAAGTCATATGTTCTTATTAATAGATACAGCAAAACAAAGCAGCCAGCCAAATAAAAAAGCATTTACCTTAGATAAATGTCAATACTCATTCTTGGGAAACTCTCTCAGAAAACTAAAAAGGGAATATTCTCAACCTGAGAAAGGGCATCTATCAGAACCTGACAGCAAACATCAGTTTTCATGGTGAAACTAAAAGCCTTGCTAGACCTAAGAAAGAGATGCCTTTTACTACTACTGCTATTTAATACTCCCTTGTATTAGAACCAATTGGACCAGACAACAAGCGGGTGAAGAATGCAAGGAAAAGTCAAAATTGTCTTTAATTGCAGACAATATGATTGTCTACATAGAAAATCCAAGAGAGTCTGTTCTTAAACTATTAGAAACATATGACAGTTCAACAAAATTGCTGGACATAAGACAACATAGTAAAATCAATAGCATTCCTGCTGAACAGCAGTACCAACTAAAACCTATAAGAAGGGACAAATATCATTTACAGGAGCAGCAAAATGTATAAGGTACTTAAGATTAAGTTTAACAAAAGATGTACTAGCACCTTATGGAAACCAGTATAGGAGAGTGGTTCAGTGGTTCAGAGCAGACTGCCTGGTTTCAGATCACAGCCCTGCTGCTTTCTGACTTGGGTAAATTATTTGATCATTTAGTACCTGAGTTTCCTCATTTATAAAAAGGAGATAATAATAATATCCACCTCCCGGGAAAGTTGGAAGGATTAATCGAGTTAAATATAAAATGTTTAGAACAGTAGCTGGCACATAATAACTTCTATATAAATGGTTGCTATTATTATTATGACAAAATAATAAAATTTAATCAAAGGACATGAAAGATGATCTGAATAAATATAGATAGGTATAAGACCATTAGATTCACTATCAGAAAGATGTTAATTTTCTCCTGGTTACTTACAAACTAATTGCAGTTCCAATGAAAATTCCAATAGGATTTTTAATGGGATCTGAAAAAATGAAAATTTATATAGCAAAAACAAGGGTCCAGGAATAGCCAAGACAACTTTGCAGAAAAGTGAAGACCATGCCATTTGATGGACTTGATGCAGAAAGACCAATGGAACAGAACAGAGAGTCCAGAAATAGACCCACATGTATATGGGAGCTTGGTATGGAAGAGACGTGGCATTATAAATCAGTGGGAAAAGGATGGGTTATTCAATTAGTGATTTGGGTATTAGGTTCTTTGTATGGAAAAAGTACATAATTAGATCCCTACCTCATCCCAAACAGAACAGCATACTCTAAATGAGCTAAAGCTCTGAATATATGTCTTAAAATGTGAATGTCAAGGAAGGACATTCTGTAGACCACCTTTATAACTCAGAGGGGAGAATAGTATTGACCAAGCAAGATGTAAAATGCAAAATACTTAAAAGATAAATATCGATACATTTCCTACATCAAAATTAGCAACTTCTGTAGGACAAGAGTACCATAAACAAAGTTAAGAGAAAAGCAACAAATTAGAAGAGAATGTTTGCAGCACACATAAACGACAGAGGACAGGTAGATTATATAATAGCTCCAGAAAACCAGTAAGAAGAAACTCAAGCAACAGAGACATGGGAAATGGGATGGAAGAGGAAATTCAAATGGCCAAATGGAAGGATTCCCAACCACACTGGGAATCAGTGAATATAAATTAAGCAACCATCACATGTCAGCTAGTCCATTAACTTCACATGAATTTACGTCTATTCCAAGTGTCACTGAGAATGTGACACACTGCTGCAGGAGCATAAATTGTTTCTTGATTTGGCAACAAGTAAGAAGTGTGTACATTACATCAGTATGTCTGACCCAGAATGAACAGCCCAGTGTGACCCAGTAGTCTCCCCTCCACCTGTCCTTTCTAGGAAACCCTTACACCCGGGAATGGGGAACTAGGTAAAACGGTGTCACTGCAGTATTGTTTGAAATTCCAAAAGGTTGGAAACAAATATCCTTTCAGTTGGGTGGGGATGGGGTGGGAGAAATAATAAAATAATTGTAGGCTGCACTTTGCTGGTAAATGTTTGACAATCTGCTGTCTAGGGGAATAAAAGCCTTAGTCTGTAGCATTTTCGGGTTTCTGGGATGTGAGTACTCTGCCGTGGCTGGTCTCCAGCTGCCGCTGTGGCAGCACTGAACACAGGGTGGGGAAAAGACACGAATGATCGGCTCCTGCAGAAGGTTCTCGGAGCAGGCGCTGGCACACCGTCAACTGTTTTCTTCCAGCATTCAAGATCAATGAGGAAACTAGGGTATAGCTGAAAAAATAATGCTCAGGAAAAAAGCAATTTGCAATACAATGTGATCAAAATGATCATGTTTATATAAATTTTAAAATCATGTGAAATTATGTAGTGCATGTATATGTGTCGAAGAACAGAACGTGAATGGGAAGAAAACAACAATTGGGGATAATGTTGCCTTTGGAAAGAGAAGAGGAAGATTAAGATGAGGAAGGGATGTGCAGCAACTTCAGTTCTATCTATGTGGTCTCATTTCTTAAATAACAATTGATGAAGCAAATTTAGGTGGCAGCGCAGTGCCTGTAGTCCCAGCTACTCAATAGGCTGAGGTGGGAGGATTGCTTGAGGCCAGGAGTTCAAGGCCAGCCTGGGCAACATACTGAAACCACTTGTCTCTGAAAAAAAAAATTAAAAGAGAAAAGATCTAAGCAAATATGTCAAAGCTGGTAAAGGAATCAATATTCAAAAGGTGGAAGATTATAATATATTATAGCCTTTGTTCATTTGAAATGTCATTAAATAAAATACAAAATATAAAGAAGATATGACATTGATCATTGATTATGTAAAAACAAAACTCTACCTTGAAAAGACCCTGGAATGACACACTCTAAATAAGTTTTTTAGCAAGTATGTTTGGATTCAGGACTAACCATAACTTTTCTATTTTCCTTTATTTCTGAATTTTCTATCACAAGTAAGTATCATTTGTGCAGCAGCAGAAAGTCACCACCCTTGTGAGTGTTGGCCCAGATCATGGCTCTGGCCCTTCCATGCAGACTTCATCATTTGCTGGGTCTCGCCACAGCTCAGAATTCTAAGGCATTCTCCATCCAGAGCCGTGGGGACCTAGCTTGGGGGAGGGTGGGTATGTTTTTGCTCTTTTCTCCCTGGAGAAAAGATCCACTGCACGGTCTCGGCCAGCCTCTATGAGGTAAGACAGATGGCTCCCAGCGGTGGAACGAGCCAAGACACCCACCTGGAAGCTCAGCCCTGCGACCTGGGCGGTCACGGAGGGGAACAGTGGCAGAGAGGTAGTGGTATTAGTACCAGACAGTGTGGGCTGATGCTACAAGCCCTGGATTTGCAGACAGAGGTAAATCTCCACGCTACCACTTGTGAGCTGGGTGACTTGGGAGAATGACTTAGCACTTGTGTTTTCATTTACAAAATGGGTACAGTGAATGGGACTGTGTTGTTGTGAAAAGTATTTGCCTTGGAGGAAGATTGTACTGCACTCCATTGAGGTCATGTGGCCATGTGACCGAGAGTGTCTGTCCCTGGCTTTGTTGAACTCATGTGACTTGCTTGGGCCAATGATGCTCTGTTACCTCTGCTGAGCCCAGCAATGTCCAGATCTAGGGCTGCTCCATCAGCCTGGGTCCTGGAATGGGGATGACAGGGATCAGAGCTGTAGCCAACATGCGATAGACATGCAGCAGGAGTGAGAAATGGGCTTTGTAAGCCACTGGATTTGGAGGGTCATTCCTTGCTGCCCTATAGCCTAGTTCATTCTGGCTGAGACAGATTTCTCATGCTTTGAGGACAAAATGGGATAACATATGAAGTGCTCAGCCACCATCTGGCACAGAGGGATATGGCAGTCAGGATAGGGGAGGGTATGCTGCAGTGACAAACCACCCACAAATCTTAGTGACCAAACACATTACATGTTTGTTTCTTGCTCACCCTATACATCTAATAGGGGTGTCTGTTATCAGTAGTCATTTAAGGATCTGATAGAGGATCTATCTTACTGGGTGCTTATTCAAGATCCCAAGTCAGAAAAAATAAAAGAATCCAGCAAACCATATAGTGGCCCCTAAAGCTCCAACTCAGAACAGACACTGGTCACTTCCCTCATCTTTTACTGTTCAAACCAAATCTCATGACTATGTCTAATTTTAAAAGGAATGGGGAAGTGCAAATCTACCCTGGGCACAGAAGGAGGTGAGAAGCAGGATATGTGTGGTGTGTACTGATGAACTCCCCTGTGGCCATTCAATGAATACTAGCTGCCACCCTAGTCATCGATAATCATGACATTTAGGCTATTTCCAAATGGAGAAACGGTGGGACACCGGGATGGCATTCCAGGTGGGAAGACCAGCATGTACAGATGCACAGATGCACGGAGTCTGGAAGGGCCTGCTCTGCTCAGGAAAGTGCAGATGTTCAGGGAGGAACCCATGGGGCACACAGGGAACTGGCTGGAGACACAGGTGAGGCCATACCGTGAAGACTTTTGGATGTAGATGATGGCATGTGGAGGCGGAGATCTTGGACACGGAACATGGGCCGCGTGAGGGTGGGCTGAGCCCCTGAATCAGTGGGCTGAGGAGGCTGGATCGAGGAGGGGAAGGGTACGACAGCACTGTGTGAGGGTGGGTCACCAAGACTGGCAGGTGGACAGGCTGTGTGGGGTGGGGGCGAGGGAGCAGCGGACGGCGCCTGCCTGTCCTGATTGCTGATGAGAGGGGGACCACCAGGCCCAGTTTCCAGGGAGGATGCTGAGTTCAGTGCTAGAGGTGTCGAATGGCTAAAATCACAAACAATGACAATGACAGTACCCTCTGTGACCACCCAGGTCCCAGGGCTTAGCTTCCAGATGGGTTTCTTGGCTCATTCCACCACCATGAACCGTGTGTCTTATCTCATAGAAGCTGGCTGAGACCGTGTACTTTTCTCCAGGTAATGACAAGAAAAAGAGGTTCTGGAGCAACAAGAACTCTCTTTCAGTACCTCTTCGGTAAGCTGTTTGACATCCGTTACTAAAGCTAAACACACACAGGCCGCCCTCTCGGCAGCTCCTGGAACTACATCCACGTGGTGCTGAGACAGCAAGTGCTGCTCACAGCGGCCTCCAAACTGAACACGCCGCCAAATGTCCACCAGCAGTAAGGGAAATTGCAGTGTATTTCTACAGTGAAATATACAACAATGAAAATGAACAAATTACAGCTACATATGTGTATAACGACACTCATGTGAATCTCCGAAATGTAACGTTGAGCCAAAGAAAGCAGATACAAAAACATTCCTACCTTGTGATTCTATTTACAGAAAGTCTCTAAGTCAGTAAGATCAGCGTGTTAGAAATCAAGATGGGGCTTATCTTTGGGATGATGTCTTCGTCAGTTTGGACTGCTTACCAACTGTAGACTGGCCGTCGTAGACCACAGTCAGTCCTTTCTCACAGTTCTGGAGGCTGTGATGTCCAGGATCAAAGGACCAGCAGATCTGGTGTCTGGTGAGGGCTCACTCCCTGATTTGCAGACCGCCGTCTTCTCGTGTCCTCACGTGAGAGACGTGGGTGGGGGTGGGGAAGCAAGTTCTCCGGTGTCTCCTCCTGTGAGGGCATCGCTAGTCCTCGTTACAAGTGCTCCACCCTCATGACCCACTCGCCTCTCAAAGACCCCTCCTCCAAAGACCATCATGCTGGGGATTAGGACTCCAACACATGAATTCTGGGTGTCTGGGTAGTGAAGGAGAGTTCAAGAGGTTGGCAGTTACTGACTTAAGTGGCAGTTATATAAGTGTTTATTCTATGATAGTTCTTTGGGTTGAACATTACACTTTTGCATGTATTAGTCTGCGTGGGCTGCCATGACAAAATACTATAGACTAGGTGGTTAAACAACAGAAATTTACTTTCTCACAGTTCGGGGAACTGGGAAGTCCAAGATCAAGATTCTGGCCAATTCAGTTCCTGGTGTGGTTTTTTTCCTGGTTTGCAGGTGGCCACTGCCCTGCTGTGTGCTCACGTGACCTTGTGGAGAGAGAGCAAGCTCTCTGGTCTCTTCTTATGAGGGCACTAATCCCACCATAAGGACCCCATCCTCATGACCTCATCTAACCCTGCTCACCTCCTAAAGGCCCCCCACACAAAGGTTAAGGCTTCAACGTATGCATCTGGGGGTACAGTTCAGTCCACAGTGCCCTTTTCTGTGCTTGTACCGTCTGTCAAGTAAAACACATTGGGGGACACAGAAACACCGGGAGACACACCACGGCAAGGGTCATGGAAGGAGCAGGTCTCGTATAGCAACTGAGAAGCAGCCGCAGAGCAGTGGGCTGGCTTCCAGGGTGGAAGCTGCTGAAAGGCCAGCTAAGAGAGGGGGCCTGTGACAGGTCTGCTGGTTCCAGGAATAGGAAAGTCATTCTTGCCTCTGGTGAGACCAGAGTTTCCGATTTTAGGAGGAGGGATGGGATGTGGGGAGAAGCCAGGCTGGAGGCTCTGGCAGGCAGCCAGGAGAAGAGACCGAGGAGATGGCACATGAGACATGTACTTTTGGCATTTTGGTTATGAAGGGGAGAAGAGCAATGTGCTGGCAGCTGGAAGGGACATGGAGTGGGGACAGTTTTTAATGTGAAAGAGACTCAAGCAGACTTATGCTGCAGGAAGCATCCAGAGTGATGCCAACAAATTCCCTTGCCAAAGAGGTCCTCTCCACTCGCCTGTATGAACAGACACTCCCACCAGGCGTCTCTATCCCTGCGCTCCACTTTCTCTTCTTCACCCATCATGACCACGTAACACATGCTCACTCTGTATTGTCCATCTCGCCCCCCAGGAGGTCATGCCACGGGCATGGGGAGTTTCCCACTCTACTCCAGTGCTGGGAACATGCCTGCATGTAGCAGGTGCTCCATAAACACTCCTCACGAATGAAGGACAGGACAGGAAGAGTCCACACAGAGAGAGGCTGCAGGGGACAGGGTCCGGAGCTTAGGTTCCCATGGTTGCGGGCAGGGATGTGTGCAGAGACAGATGAGGAAGCAGGGACTGCATGGCTGAGTGGCTGTGGGCAGGGGTTAAGGGAGGGGCCTTGGCTCTGATTGGGGGGTGTTGAGAAGAATGGAGGAGACAGTCAAGAGGGGTGTAGGACACTGCTCTGGGGTCCTCGGCCCATTTCAGAATCTGGAGAAAGAAAGGGGTGTGGGCTGTGCCGTGGCAGTGTGGGGCTGTTTTTACTGTGGTGCAGGCATGTGACAGGTGAGGTTGATGCCAGCCTGGTGTGGGGTTTGGCAGAACTGACAGATGGGGAGGATGGGAGAGGGGATCTCTGCAAGATCATGATGGCACCAGTAAGACTTTGGAGACGCCAGGCCCTGCCAAGCACATGAGGCCACACCTGCCATCACGCCCATTTTAGGAATGAAGTTGTGCTTGCCCTGGCCCCCTCGCTGTCAGGAGTTGGACCCAGCGTGTCTCTCAGTGTCAGAGGCCGAGCCATTTTGTTCTCCTGAGCTAGAGAGGCGAGGAGGGTATGGGTGCAGTGGGCTGCTGGGTCTAGGATGTGAGGTGTGGGGCATGTGAGCAGGCCAGGTGGGAGAGAGAGAGGAGAGCATGCCCGGCAGCTGGGTGGGGGCTGATGTGCATGTCAGTCACCTTCCTATGAGGTAGAAGTGATGCCCAATAAGCACAATCTGTGGGCCCTTGCATTTACCTGTCCTTGAATGGAATCTGCACGCCCGGGCGTTATTGGCTTGTTCCCCAGAGAAAGGGCTGAGTCTGGGACAGGTCAGGCGCTTGTCCTGGGCTACTCAGCAGGCAGGTGCTGGCAGAGCCCCCACGCCTCTCCCAGGTCCAGCCCTTTCTATACCTTCTGCAGGTGCTGGCAGGGCTGGTGGGGGTGGGCTTTCACCACCTCGTAGGTCCATTCTGGGCATTTCTATGGAATGAAACACAGCTCTGGCTGCAAAAACTCCCTCCCACTCACCAGCGAGACACTTCAGGGGGCATCCACATCCGCCTTCCCCAGTCTTTCCCACAACCCCACCTTCCCTGCCCCAACACCTGCTGGACTCTCCTCCCTCCACTGCAGTTTGGGGAACTGCCTGCAGTCCCCCAGAAACCAGCTGAGAGAGGTGGAGGGCATTACAGAATTGCAGAACCAAGGCACCCCACTAACATCTTGGATCCAAAAGCTCCTGTAGCCTCTGTGACCCCTGCCCTTACCCCGCCCAAGGCAAGCTCCAGCCTTCCTCTGCCCCTTCCCAAGCAGGTTTTGCTGAGCACTTGGGAAGGCCTGAGGGTCCCTCACCGCCACCTCTGAAGCCAGCTCTGGGGCTTCTGCTCTAGGCTGGGGACATGAGATTCATCAGGTAAGGGGTCATCTTGGAGGAGGTGACGGCTTGACCAAAGAGGCTGCAAATATTTTTTGAGGGCCCCCCTATGTGACAGGCACCATGTATGATGCAAGGGACACACTCATGACTAAAGGAAGGAAGCAGGGGAGGGACAGAGGGAGGGACAAGGGAAGGAGGGAGGAAGTAAGGCCGGTTCTGCTTGGCAGAAGCCCTGGGCTTGGAAGGGAGGGAGGTGGGATGTGCACTTCTAGCCTGGCTTCGGATGTACCCAGTGCTGTTTCTCCAACTTTATCTCACCTGTTCAGTGGAGAGGTGGGCATGAGGGGAGATCCTGGAGCTCTGCCTGGGAGAGACGGCCTCACCTGCAGCCATTAGGGTGCTGATGCCGCCCCCCCCCCACCGCCAGCTTCTGCATAGGGACCCAGCTTTGCATTGGGAGGGGGGGAGAACTCGCCCTACCCATCCTCTTCTACTAATGAAGGGGCCCACTGTCCTTCCCCCTTGCCCCCCAAGTCTCCCATTCTCCAGGTGTGCCCTGTCAGCTGCCCCCCTAGTCCCTTCAGTCCCTGCCTTCTGCCCTCCTCCTCCCCCATTTCTGGGCCCCTTGCCGGTTGCTCATCTCTTCCACAGTTAGAGCACCTTGGCACCCAAGGTACCCTCCCCCAAGCTGGCGGTCTCCTTTCTCCCTCCCGCGAGGCGCACCCAGGCACCCAAGGTGCCCACCGCTAGGGCCGGAGCGCGGCGCTGCGGCCTCTGTTAGGGAGCCGGCTCCACCTGCAGGGTGGCTCGGCGGCGGCCGCGGGCCGCGGGGGCGGAGGAGCGGGCGGCGCGAGGGAGGGGCCTGCGACAGCGGCGGCAGCGGCAGCCCCAGCCCGCGCAGCCGGCTGGCCCCGCTCGGTCGGCGCGGCGCAGCGCGCGTCCCTAGCCGCCGCGCCACAGCCAGGCGCACCGGCACCAGCCGCCGCCGCTGGGCGCACGGACGCAGCGCGCACAGGCCGCCGGGATGCGCGCCGGCGCCGGCCCCGCCCAACCCACGGCCGCCGCCCGCCCGCCGCGCGCTCCCCTGAGCGCGGCGCCCGCCGGCCGCCCCAGCAGTCCCCGCCGCGATGCCCGCCCCCCGGGGCCCCGGCGGCCCGCGCCCCTGCTAGGCTGCGGCGGCATGGCCCGCGCGCCCGGCGCGACCTCTGCGGATTGCATCGGTGTGTGGCGGCGGGGCATGCCCAGGGCACCGGGCACGGCCTTCAATGGGCGAGGACACGGACACGCGGAAAATTAACCACAGCTTCCTGCGGGACCACAGCTATGTGACTGAAGGTAACGTACGTGTTGTCTGAGACCCCTCCGGCCCGCCGCGGCGTGGGGATGCCGTCGCACCGAATGCCCTCCGAAGGTTTGGACCGCGCGATGTGTGTCGTGCCCCCCCTCCCCGGGCCCTGCAGGGAGGGAGCCCGAGGGCACCGGCCCCCAGTGCCCAGCGCCCGGCCAGGGCAGTGCCCTCCTCCGAGCCGCCCTCTGGGAGGCAGCTGTCTGCTCCCTGGTCGGTGGAATCCTGATGCGGCCCTGGCCATCATGTTTTCAAAAGCCATGCTGTGGCTAATCTGGTGAAGAAATGCTGGGGAAATGTAGTGGCTTAAAATCCTGGATTTGCCATTTAAGTTCTGCCCAAAGCCCGCAGAATTTTCTAGGCTGCCCACTCCCTGAAGAATAGGGGCCCAGAGCAAACACAAGCATTGCCAGATGCTCCTGAGAGGCTCGCCTGCCCTGGGCCCCTCCTGCGCCCCCAGAGACAGGGTCCCCTGGTGGGAGGGAGAGGGCGGCTGGTTTGCGTCTGGCCTTTTATTCTTGGTGAGTTATATTGGGGCAGGAGCAGCTAGGCTAACTATCAGGATTTCCACCCAAAAGTGGGAGATGCCACCCCTAAATTGGCCCTACAAGCCCACCCCCACCCCAAGGGTGGTGGTACCCACAGGGTCAGGGCCCCTCTTACAGGCCAGAACTTCGGGGGTCCCTCTGCTCAGCCTCGCTCAGGGAGCACTGGGGACAGGCCCGTGCGCAGGGCAGGTGGGGCCCGCACGGTGAACCCCGAGGGAGGGCGGGCCGGGAGATCTGCCGCGGAGTGTCCGCGAGCCCGTCGGCCGCCGGTGCTGCAGCCCTGCCCAGGGGTGGGGACAGGCAGCACCTTCCCCAGGGGCTGCCGGCCTGGCAACAGAAGTGTTTGTGGCTTTTTCGCAAGAGCTCGCCCAGGTGGGTGGCCCCGTGGGAGGAGCCCTGGGCACTGCGTCCCGCGAGGCGGCGCGTGTGGGCGCCTGTGCCGGGAACCCGCGTGGGCCCGGCGGCCGCAAGGCCGGGCTCCGCCGGAAATGAGGCCGAGCGGACCGGAGCCCGCGGAGGCAGAGGCCGGGCGTGTGACCGGGGACGGAGGCCGGGTCCGCGCCCGCGCCCGCGGGAGAACCGCTGAGTCATGCTTCGCCGGCGTGCGCGGGAGAGGGGGCAGGGCCCGCTGCGACGCTCTGCCCGCTGGGGGGCTGGAGCGGCCCTTTGTCGCGCCTCGTGAGGCTGGGGAGGGGTCGCGCGTCCGGTGCTTTTCTGCTCGCAGCCTGCCCGGGTTGAGAGAGGCCCGGGCTGCTGGCAGGTGCCCGAGGCCTGGCTCCCGCGCGAGCGGGGCTTGGCGGGGCTCCTCTGGCTCCGAGGACGCCGCTTCTCATCTGCGCCTTGGGGAGGAGGGGTAGGGCGCGGGCTCGTTCTTGACTGGAAGTGAAAAGCCCGCGGTGGACATCTGCGAGTGTTAATCCGGTCCTCACCCTACCCACCCTGCTTTCGCTGTCATAACGCGCCGGCTCGCAGCGCGGCGAGGGCAGGTGCGGTTGCGGGGGCAGAGTTGTAACCCTCTCCGTCCGTTCACCGTTCACCGAGTATTTGCTGAGCACCTGCTGCATCCCAGTCACCGTTATGTCCCTGGGGCTGGACAGAGGGTCCCTGCTCTTGTGCAGCCTGTGTTCTACCGGGGAGCCATGTGACCTTGAGGGGAGTATCCTCTCACCACATCTCAGTTTCCCCGTCTGTAAAATGGGAGAGACTCCGGCCTGCAAAGGCCTGGGCCTCCTGTGAAGACCAGGCGGGATGGCGATGAAGAAGCGACCTCGGAACTGTCACCCTAACGCAGCCAGAGGGTGTTGAGCGCCGCCTGTGTGCCGGGGCTCGGGCAGGCCTCGCGCGCTCCCTACCCTGCTTTTTAGATGAAGAAGCCGAGGCTTGGCCTTGCGCGGCCCAGAAGGAATGCCAGTGAGTGTAGGGCAGAGGGCTCAGCTGCTAGCCATGCAGAGAACAAGATCAGAAGGGGAAACACCACCAGTAATTATTATAATTAGAATATATGAGAATTCTGTCCTCCCTGAATAAAAACAGACTTCCACACGGTTGCATCTTGACTGCATCTTATGCTCAGAGCCACAGGGTAGGTCACATATTTGGATGTCAGGCAGACCTGTGTTAAAATTTTGCTTCTGACCCCTCACTTGCTGTGTAAATTCGGACAAGTACTAAACCTTCCTGAGCTCCACTTTCTTTCTTCATAGAGGGAGAAATAATAATGGCTGCTCATGCAAAGTTGTTGGGATAATCAGTGATTATGCTAATATGGAAAGTGCCCAGCGCAGTGCTTGGCTTATTGGAGGCATTTGATTAATGACACGTATAATTTAAAAGTCTTATAACTGGAAGAGCCTTATGAGCAAATAGTGGATGCTAAGACTCAGTTTGCAAAAGACCTAGCTGCACAAATTCCCATTGCACCTGGTCCTTGGGTCCATACTCACTTCTTGTACCCCAGCTGCTCCTGTCTACTGCCTGTTCCTTAAGTGGGTGACTTCTTCCCTGCCTCAGGGCATTTGCCTGCTGTCTTCTACCTGGAACACCTTCCTCCTGCTTTTCTCACGACTGACTCCTTCTCACCCTTTGGGTCCCAAATCAAATGTCATCTTTGCCATTGGGAGTCCTACTTGAATTCCTAGGTCTCTTATAAAATCTCAAATACCTTGGGAAGAGTTGAGGTTTTGTTAGCTGTTCACATCTTGGGGTGAATTAGAGCAGCTTGGGATTTTGGGGGGATGCTGACTCTTGGCTGAGCTCAGCTGTCTCGAGGGTTGTGATTATGCGGTGTGCATGCAGGCCACCTAGGGCACAGAGAACTTTGCAAGGACAGGGACAGGGTGTTGAGAGAGCAGTGCCATTGACACTTTTAGGACCATGGAGGGATGCCAGGGTTGGGAGGGTGCCAGAAAGTCTCTGTCTGTTTAGGCAGTTCTTAAGAGCTAGACGTGATTCTTGAAAGGACTTTTCCTGGCTCTGTTCTCTTTCGCTGTAGGCCCCAGGACTTCTGAGTTAAATAGCTGTTTCTAGGCTACACTGGACATGCAAAACCCATGCACCCTTCCTTCACTGAGCACCATTTACCAAGCACATCCTTCTCTGGGTCTGGCTGAGGCAGGCAGTGATGGCCCAGACACAGGAGCTCGGCTGAGGGGAGATGGCAGAGGCTGACCGAGTAGATCTGGCAGTGACTGTGTCTCTGTGGGAATGTGCCTGACAGGTGAGGCACTCAGGAACCCATTTCCCTGCTGGGACTGGAGCTCAGCTTCCATTCCCTGGAGCATCTCAGCCACCAGCCTCTGTCAGACACATGTGCCTCTTGCATCCGTGGAAATGAGGCAGTTTCCCTACCCCCATCCTGGGGTGTCACACCCGATTTCAGACCAGTCTCTTTATCTCCACAGAGTTGTCCTGATTTAATGGTTGAGAAAATGCAGGGGAACTCCCACCGCATGGAGTTGTCTTCGGAGTCTGAACTGGTTGGCTCTGGAAACTGTATGTTTTCCACCCAGGCCTAAACCGCAGCGGAGAGCAGGTGTGTCGTGGGAGACCCAGCATGCAGTGAGATGTGCACTCTCACATCGAATGCTGCAGCCGGTCTCTCCAGCACCCAGCCTCCCTTCTCCCATGGAGAACACACGTGGTTCTGGCAAGAGCTCTCAGACCGCTTCTAGGTCTGAAGGTACAGGGGTCATCTTGTCCCTGTGCAGTGACTGGTTCCAGCATGGAGCGAGAGTCAGTTCTGGAGGTCGAGTGGGAATTAGAGAGCTGTGGCTAAGCTGGTCCCTCTGTTGTGATGGGAACGTGGATGTCCCGTGGTTGCTGGCAGCTGTCCTGGCACCATGACAGGCAGAGGGTGAGTGAGAACTGGGTACTGTGGGCGACATTCAGGCCTGATGTCCACCCCAGCTCTGGGCTCCCAGTCCATGAGCTGGTACCTGTCCTTGTCGCTACACACTCTAAGCCTGGTCTGTCACCACAGCATCGGCACCGGCTCCCACAGCCTGTGCTGCTCACCGAGAACCAGGAGGCTGCTCTGTAACTCCCAACCAAGAGCCCGGGACACAGCACTGAGGGGGCTTTTTGTTTGTTTGCTTTCTGCTGTAGGAATCCTTTTTCATCTATTTTTTTTTTTTCACTCCAGTCAAGGATGCCGAGTCCAGTTTTCTCTCCGCGGTTCAACTGAGGGCAGATGAGAGAGCCTAAGATCTTGCATGGGAGACCTGGGGCCCTGGCGGGGTCTGGGTCTGGGTCCGTGGTCTTGGCAGGCCACACAGTCTCTCTGAACATCGGTTTATTCTCTGCGGCGTTGCTTAGATCACTTGAAACAGGTATACGGCTGTGTGATGTCTTATCTTCTCCGTGAACTGCCCACCTGCTTCTCGGAGGGAATGGCTCAGGAAGCTCCAGGGAGCTGAGGGCACATGCCCGGCCAGCGCCTGGAGCACAGACAGCACTTTGTGAATGTTACCCTAAATGATGATGTCCAGGGCCAGAGTTAGACTAGCCCAGAGAACTATCAGACTGGCTAGCCCATCTCCCACCCATCCCACGGGGAAACTGAGGCTAGGAAGGGGGAAATTAGTTGGTGGCACTGACCACCATGGGGAGAATGGGGGAGCCAGCTTTGCTCTCTGAAATCCGGATGTGGACCACTCTGATGCTTTGTTCCTTGCTTCCATTTGGGAATGCCACTTGCATAAGCTTCCCTCGGGCATCACAAGCCAGTGTGGGCTCCGTTTCAGGGGTGGGGGAAGGCAGCTGAGGCTGGGCCTGTTGGGTGTCCTCTAGCCAATCACACCGCCTCTCTGAGCCTCAGTTTCCTTGCACAGCACGGTGCCCTGGGTTGTCGCAAGGCTGTGTGGACACTGAAGTTGCGTACTCTTGTCCATTCCGCACACCTTTGTGTGGGCCATCCCCATGCCCGCTGCAAGCGGGAGGCTCCT